TTCAGGGCTCTGTCACAACAGTGAGCACCTGCAAAGCTGTGTGTTTGCTTTTGTAAGAGACCAGCCTTAAGAGGACTGTCTGATGGAGTCATTCTGTTCTCCAGATTGGCTCCAGTGACAGGCCAGGCCAGGGCAGTTTCACCAATCTGCCAGTCCACTTAGGAGCTGACAAATTCATTAGCATCACCTGTACGTCATGCGCTACCCTGCAGGTTGCAGAGAATGCAGGCTAATCAATAACAAGGCTGTGTCCTCCAGATGTGTCTCCCTCGTGGCCAGCTTCACTCCTGGACCAAGAAAGAACACCAGGCTACTTTACCTGCTGCCAAATCCCGGTGACAGAGAGGAGCTCTGCTGGGAGAAGGGAGCTGCCCGAGGGGGACTGGAGGAGGCCCAGGGGCTCCCCAGCCTTCATCTCTTCTTCCCCTCCTGTGGCCCTGCTCTAAGCCAGCCAGAATTTATTATGACTTACTTCTAGCTCATTCTTTATCCAAAGGGTTTAGTTACTGGAAGTACCGATGTGTCTTCCTAGTGTTCTTAGAAACGTATGTGTAATTCTGTGTAAAGTGATTTTTAGAAATAAAATGAAATGCCTTAAGGTTTGGAGGAGTCTTGCTGTCGTTGTTGTTGAACTTGCCCCCACCCTTAAAGAAGCCTTTGATGAGTCTTTGAAAACAAAACAATGGTTTTCAGAGTAGGAAGAATCGAACCTTCATTGATCTGGCTTATAAATTTTGAGATTTTTGAATGTCAGTTTTCTTAAAGTGGGATTCAGGCCATATGGCATGGGTAGGATAGTGTTGCTTATGAATAGATGCTGTACCATGGTCCCCTGGGAGGTTCTAGGAACCACTACAGCTTTTAAGTACTAGGCCTAATTGAACACCACTGGCTTAATTAGTATATTGAATGTAATCAGTATGATGAACTTCCTTCTATTTTCTTCTCAAACTTCTGTCCATTGCAGAACACGTCCTTTATCTATCTGGAGCAGGTAGAGCATTCAGAACAACATGGAGGACGTGAAACAAGTTGGAGAACTAAGCAGGGGGATCATTGCTCATCTGATTTTCTGAACCCGAGATTTAAGTCAGAAACTTTGCATTTGAGTCCTATTTTTAAAAATAATTTCCTTTCATGTCATCTCCTTCCAGTACATTTTGTTACTTGTGATTTGAAGCATATTAACGCTAATTGGATTTGGACTTTTTGAAAAGCAGTAAAGACTTAGGCTATCCAGAGGAAAAGGGTTTGCTGTTGTATGAAATTGTAGGGACATTACTTCAACACTTTGTGGTGAAGTCAAATACCCATGTAACTTCTTTAGAAACCTAGAGGAATCAAACCTTAGAGCTAGGTGGATCCTTGGAGAAAACATAACGCATGTTTTGCAGAGAGGGGAGTGAGATGTGTAAGACCGCTTGTTAGTAGCAGAGCTCAGTAGCACATTTTCAAAGAGAATGCTTGTTACAGAGGCTCTTAGTCTGTACACTAGAGTTTACCAGGACCCTACCTGGTAACATTCAACACTTGTGCATGTTTAATATTACTAAAACAGCATTACTTTAAGAAATATGCAGTAAATCAAGGTTTTCCTAATTCAAAATGGTGTTTCCCTCAGATCATTATGAGTTGCTGAAAATATCTCAGGCCTAGAGCTAATTAGTAGACATAATTGATTAGAAAGGGCTTTAGGTTGAGAACTGACAGAAGAATCCGAGGTTAGTCATAGAAAATAGAAGTTTGACATTAATAGATAGCAAAATAGGAACTGAGAGAAATGTTCTCAAAATCCAGAGAACATGGAAATAGCTGCTACTGCGGAGTAGCCACTTACCAGTAAATGAAGAGCCCCCTCACCGCAGCTGACCACACAAACACTCCCATTCCCCACAGCTGTGAGATGTGGAAGTTAAAAGAATGGACGGCTTTATTTCTCTCCCCCTTTCATTTTATTCTTGCTGATTAATGGAGAAATGATCTTGGATAGAAAAATCACATTATAACTTTGATAAGTTAGTTGCCTTTTGAAATAGAGTTGCTCCCAAGCCACATATGTTTATTGAAATATATATTTTATAGAAAATATTACAGAGCCTGTAACTGAAAACTTATGGCAGTATTTTGGGGAGTGATATGTTCTTAATGTTAATTTGTAGATTAGCTCTGAACTCCCTTCTCCTGTTCTAGAACCATTGTCTGAGTGAACATTTTCCAAGAGTCTTTTCAAATCTAAACTGTGTTTCATGGAATGGAGTATTTAGTGCTTAAATAATGTATAAATCCAGTTGGACAGGAGCTGCCTGTCAGTTTTATTAACTTTGACCTTTTCTCCCATTATAAAGATGGTTCGGTAAATATTTAATGGGCTCCTTATAGATCTTGACAGTCGGAGCTGTGATCCTGGAAACCGAGAAGCGTATATATGGTGAACAAATGTTGCTTAATCACTGTGAGTCAGCTTTCAAAGGCAGGTTTCGTTTTGGGGCAAGAAAAGTCCTTCCATCTTCCTGTGCTCTTAGGGGTGTGGTGTACATTAAGAGCATCCAAGATGGTAGAAGTTTCAAAGGAACCCTTTGAAAGACAGCAGCTAGCATGCGTTTCTGCTGTTTTGGGTTGGTTTGTTTGGGCAGATGACGCCAGGTGGGCAGAATCACCGTGCTGCTCTGCGTGGTTGGCAGGACTCGTCCACTCAAAAGAGTCAGCAGGGCTGGAGTGGCTGAGCTTGCGTGGACCCCAGTAAGATACACAGAAGAAGGAGAGCCAAAAGGAGAGACGATTCCTTGAGCCAGGAGGGGACCCCTGCCAAGCTGTCTTTCCCTTTAATTCCGTAAAGCTCCATGCATATTGCACTCATTGCAGATTCTGGTGGGGAAGATCGAAACCCAAGTAGCTGACATTTTGAAACATCGTCTTTCAAACTCGTACTGTCCCTTGCTTCCATCGATTTCCCATTTAAGAAATCTGTCGCAGAAAAACAAATTTGAGCAAAATTCATTGGTCTGCGATGAGTTGTTAGAGCCAAATTATGCCCCCCCTTTCCGCCCCGAGAAGAGCTCCGTTCTTATTATCAATGTGATGTATCTTTGTCTTGTATTGTGCAGCCATAGGGCTCCCCCAGCAAATCGACCAAGTAAATCAAGAGCCTGTTAAAAAGCAATATGGGTGCTCCAAACACAGACACCTCAGTGTTACTGGGTCACTGGATAGCTTCATTTTTATAGCCACTTTCAAGAAGCAGATCATTTCAATTGGTTTTGTTTTCTTCCACTCTGTATTTGTTGTGTGCAGCCCAGTGGCTTTAGGTGAGGCCATTTAGTTTTCAGAACGTTATTACCCTTTGCATCCAGGGCCCGGCCCCTTTTGTATGGTGGTCACCAGTTTCATTACCATGAGCTGTAATGTAGCTGACTCTGCAAAGGAAATCTATGCCTTGGAAGAGCATTTTGAAAAGAAATTGATTCAGAGCTTCAGAATGAATTACTATTTGTATATTAGTTAATTCTAAATAAATGTTTGAAAGACCTCGCTTAATGTGAGACGGGAGGAAGAAACATACTGGATGTTGTAAATGGTCTCAGTCCAAATTCTTAGCTTGGCATTTTCACATCTGAATGTTTTATTTACATCTGTTGAAAATTGGGATACCTTTCAAGGATAATTTTATTATAGAGATGAATGACAGCTCTTAAGATCTAAAATACAAAAGTATGGGATTTAAAAAAGGAGGATGGGAGTCACGGTCACATGTCAAATTGGATATAAGCTTCATTTGGCAATGAGTGAGAGTGATGAGTTGTATTTTAAATTGAAAGATCGTCATGATCGGAGTTGGGGGCGAGGGAGATTGACTGCATTGGGGCGCAAGGGAACTTTCTGCAGGGATGGAGATTTTCTGTATCTTGATTGGGGTGGCAGTGTCCCAGGTATACGTTGTCAGAACATCACACTGTACGCCTAAAATGTGTGCATTTTATTTTATGTAAATTATAACTCAATAAAGAAGATTTTTTGAAAAGTCCTGTTTGTTTTAGAATTAGGCAGTATTATTTCTCTCTTCCAATAGAGAAATCAAAGTCTAGAAAAGTAAGATGATCTGTCCTAAGTAACCTCGAAGCTCAGCAGTTTGTCGTGGACAAAGCAAAGGATGCTGGCTGTCAGCCCATTTAAAGTCTCCTGCTTCCTTACCCCAGTTGTATGGTTCCAGTTGCGTGCACATGGAGTGGAATTAACTTCTCCAACCAGTTCTGTTCGGTGAAGCTATATCCATTTGTATACGTTATCGTAAGATATATTCACGTGTTTATTCTTGTGATTGATACTTGTATCTTAACCACGGGAAACAGCAGCCCAGCGGTATGTTTGAATCTGTTTATGATAAGCCTGTTGTGCTCCTGGTTTACTGCAGTGGACCATGAGTTATATGCTTTTTATTATAAGCAAGACATGATGGCAGCAGGAGTTCCCAGAACTAATCTGTCTTTAAGGAAGCCCACTGTCTCCTCTTGTAAAAAAATGACATAAGCTTTAAAACCATTTACATAACGCATATATGAATAGCGGTGAAAAATAAAGTAAAAAAGTATCCCAATTCTACTATTTCGAAATACACTGTTAACATTTTAGAGAACATGTGTTTAAGTGTCTCTCTGTTTACAGTGTAACCTGTTTGGTTTTTTTTTAATTCAACAAAATGGTGTTTTCAAGTTCTCTATGTATTTTACCCAATTTCCCAGTTATTGTTGGTCATTTAGATTGTTTCCAGTTCTCTATCATTTTGTAATGCCACGCTGGACACCTTATTCATGTTTCTTTTCCTATTTGTCTGATTATCTCCTTATAAATACATTCCTTGAAGCAAAATGTTAGCAGCTGTATTTGAAGTTATTAAAAATGTTCTGAGCCGGTAAGATGTATCAGGTCTTGATAGTGTAATACCCCTTGTCTAGCTTTTACCAAATGTTATCTTTCTTCCCCTTTTGTTTGGTTTTTCTCTGCAGTTGCAGTACCATGCAGGTCTGGCATCTGGCCTTTTGAATCAACAGTCGTTGAAACGTTCTGCTAACCAGATGGGAGTATCTGCTAAACGTAGACCAAAGGCTCAACCCACGACTCTTGTCTTACCGCCTCAGTGAGTGATGGGTTTGAAAAACGTACTTTTGTCCTGGGGGAAGTCTGCTCTGTGCTTGTTTTTAGCTAATGGAAACTTGATTTTGCAAAGTCATTTCTTTCTTTTAAAAAGGTATCTGTTAAGATTAGAAACCAAACATGTAGGTAATCTATTTTGCACAGGTCTTAAAAGAAGCAGTTATAATGCACTTCATAGTTTACACGGTTTGTGTGTGACTCTAGGACTTCAGGATGCCTCAGAGCTTATTCTTTGTGTCCTTGTCACATTCCCAGAGTCGGCAGAGCATAAGGGCAGTTCTCCTTATCTTACAAATGACACAGCCGAGGAGCACATTTTGATAAGCTGCAGGCCATCTAGGGAATCTGGTAGAGCTGGGATTAGAATCAGTGTTAGGCCCACTGATTCTTTTTTAAAATAGTAATATATGTGCTCTTCCTTTTCCCAATAGGAGAGATAGCAGACACTGTAAAGTGTACAGATCACTGGTTGTTCACATGTGTCTACCTCCGTGTAGCTCCACCCAGATCAAGCCACGTGGCCACCACTTCCAGAACCTCCACGAGGGTTCTTCTCGTGTTCCCAGTGCCGCCTCCCTCCCTAAGTTTAACAGCTATTCTGACTTCCTTCAACAATTGATTTTACCTGTTCTTGAAATTCATATAAATGGAATCACACAATATGTAATCTTTTATATCAACTGTCTTCACTCAACACAATATCTGTTAGATTCATCCAGGTTGCTTGTTCTTTTTTGTTGCTGTGTAGTATTCCTTCGAGTATGCCACAATTATTCTACCCATTGGGTTGTTCTTTACCAGAAGCCCCAGTAGATGAAGGCCAAGGCTCAGTCAGTGATGTGGAGTCAGAAATTGAAGCACACCAGTCTTTGCCAGTAGCTTTTCTATCCACGTGAACACTCCCCCAAAAGGGGCACTACTCCCCAAAGCTCGACTTGGTCTTTAAACACATTGCCCAGCCCAACCCGCCCTCCTGTTGTACCCTCTTTTGCTTACATCCTCAGTTACAAACTACATTTTAAAATTTCCAGTCCAGAGGAGTGTTTGCTTCCAGGACGGGATGAACATAACCAGCCAGCCTCCAACAGGTTATTTTTTGTCCGCTGCATGCACAGGTGCCATCCTTTCCAGAGACTACAGGGACAGTTTCTTTGAGTGATGCAGGATAGAGAGAGTTTTCACCATTTGGCAGGAAGCTTCTTCTGTCTCATGCTTCTCATGTGTTGATTTGGTGGTTCTGCACATCTCAACTTTTGGCTCTCAAAAGTCTAACGGGCCCTTATAACTTGTCATCTTCTCTGCTTGGATTGTCTACTGAGGCAAGATGCTTGGCGAGAAGTGAAAGACTTTCTAATGGTCCCGCAAGACTGGAGCCAAAAGTGTTTGTTGCTAACTCTCTCTTGACAAAAGTCAATTCTTAGTCCATCTGTTCACCATTTGTTAATTTGCATTGGCTTGAAACCTGTTTACAGGTGACATGCTATTATGAGGACACTTAGAAACTATTTTAAGCACCAAGGCAATCAACAGACTCTGTTCGCATGCCAAAAAAAAAGAAAAGAAAAGAAAACAACTGGTGTTCACAACTGTCATTATAACTTTATAATAAATCACTCAAAATACTTAGTTTCAAAGAGAAAAGTGGTTACTGCGTCCTAAGAATACAACGTTGAAATGATTTCCTTTACTTAGTAGACTCTTTCCTGTGAAAATTGACTGCTGCCTTTTCCCATCATTGAGCTTTGTGGACTCACATTATCCTGGAATCCCTTTGTAAAGTGACTATCCAGTAGGCAGGATCTACAGCTAAAGGACATTCTGTTCACTTTTATTGAGCACCTACTATGTGCCACTTATAGTGTTAGATGTCCAGAATAGAGACACCAGCAATTCATAGCTGCTGGCCTAATTGGATCATATATATATTTTTTAGACTAAAAAATAGGACACTAGTAATATATACATATTGTACATTTTGAAAAGACCAAAGGTATTAAAAAAGGAAAGAAAAAATAATAATACCATCACCCTGAGAAAGTTATTGTTAAAGTTTTGATGGATATTGTTCTAGATTTTTTTCTATGCGTATGTAATATATAATTTTTAAAAACAAAAAACAACCTTCAAGAAGAATTGTAATATTGTTCTGTGTCACATCCCAACGTTTGTTGAATGTAGTTCTTAGATTTTAAGGTAGTATAATTTGACCTGTGGAATACTTAAATTTGCTTGTTAATCAGCCATGTTGTGGTTTTATCTGTAGGACATGACTCATTACAGAATTTTTATTGTAAGTATGATATGACCATAAACTATCTTTGTCATTATGGAAATCCCTTGAAACTCCCTTATAAAACAACACCCGAATCCTCCAGGGTTGCTACAGTAGTCATCTATTGCTACGTAAAAAGTTGCCCCCAAACTTAGTGGTTTAATAACAGTAAACATAATCGCCCATATTTTCTGTGGATCCTACCTGGGAATGGCTTGGCTGCATGGTTCTGGCTCAGAGCCTCTCGTAACATTGCAGTCAGATGGCAGCCAGGACCACAGTCATCTGCAAGTTGGACCAGGGTTCAAAGGTCACTTCCAAGGTGGCTCACTGACATGGCAGGTAAGTTGGTGCCAGCTGTCGATGGAATACCTCAGTCCCCTCCATGTGGGCCTGTCCACAGGGTGCCTGAGTGTCCTCTGGACTTAGGGGTGACTTCTTCCAGAGCAAGCCATCTAGAAGAAGGCGAGCCAGGCAGAGCCTATCCTTTTTATGGCCTCGCCTCAGAGGTATGTGGCATCCATTCCACCCTGTAGTGTGTTAGAAATGATTCACTACGTCTGACTGACATTCAAGGTCGGCGGGGTGGCGGGGTGGGGAAGAGCCTCTCCCTTGTGAAGGAAGGAGTGTCAGAATTTGCAGACATGTTTCAGGGAATTCCCTGGCGGTCCAGTAGTTAGGACGCGGCGCTTTCACTGCAGGGGCCCGGGTTCAGTCCCCGGTCGGGGAAGGAAGATCCTGTAAGCCGCGGGGCGCAGCCAAAAAATTTAGAAAATTTAAAAGTAAAAAAGAATTTGCAGACGTATTTTAAAAGCGCCCCAGTTGCCAATGAGGAGAGCCATTACACAGAGGGAAGAGTGGCGGAGCCTGTGAGCCCCATTGACTTATTTATTCAGCAAATATTTACTCGGGGCCTATAGGTGGTTGGTTCTGTGCTCCGTGCTGGGGATTTGGAGATGAATAAGATAGAATTTCAGCTTTCAGGACACTCTGAGTAGAAATAGAGGAACAAACAAGTAGCAGGGAGTCATAGTCGAGTGTGCCGAGTCCTAAGGAAGTGGTCCTAACGTGCCCGAGAAGGCCACAGGCAGGATGCTGAGAGAGACCCACTCAGGGAGGCCCAGCCAAACTTCACCCGGTTTCTCCACTGCCAGCTGTGAAGGACGGAGGCTTTCCTTCATGGAGAGCTGGATGCTTGCTTGCATAGACCTTACAGGATTCTAAGGAAAGGGTTTCTTTCTTTTTTTTCTTTTTTCTGTGTTATATTCTCCAGTGACCTTTTTCTTTTCTTTTTTAACATCTTTATTGGAGTATAATTGCTTTACAATGTTGTGGTAGTTTGTGCTGTATAACAGAGTGAATCAACTATATGCATACGTGTATCCCCATATCCCCTCCCTCTTACGTCTCCCTCCCACCCTCCCTATCCCACCTCTCTAGGTGGTCGCAAAGCATGGAGCTGATCTCCCTGTGCTCTGCGGCTGCTTCCCACTAGCTGTCTCTTTTACACGTGGTAGTGTATATATGGCCATGCCACTCTCTCACTTCGTCCCAGCTCACCAGGAAAGGGTTTATTTCTAAACAGTGGAGGAGGCCGGTGAAGGACCGGTGGCTGGGCCCCTCGCTCGCCCACCCCTGGAACTCTGTGCGTCTGTTAGTGTGGTGGCAGTTGAGTTTCTGCATTGGCTTGTGTCAGCAGTTGGGTGGCACGGAAGCTACTGCCACAAAACCACCGTCTCTGCCTGAGTGCGCCGAGACCACAGGCGTGGCAAGAACACAGGAGAGTCGTACCACACGTTAATGTGTTTGTTTTTTAAATGCGGTTGGCTTTAATAGCAGTAGTCTTTGAAAACTCAGATTCTCCCCGAGTTCCCAGAGGATTAGTGATTTGTGGGATTAATGATTCATATCTTTCTCCCCCTCCAAAGAAGCTTGTAAGGAGACAAAGATGTTGTTCAAGATGAAAGGTCTTTGATCCCGTATTAGCGTTCAGAGGGCACTGGTGAAGCGACCTCACTTCCGTGATTCCCGAGCGTTCATATTAAGTCTTTTGCAGACGGACACTATCGTTTTCATAAAGGAGCTGTGTCCCCTGTTGCAGGGTAAACATTGTCAGCCTTTGACCTTTGTAGGATTGGGATCAGCCTGGGAAGTGGCTGTCGTACTTGATCGATCTGTGAGTTGCATCCTGAGATCGCTGTGTACTTACTTTATGTCAGCTGGAGCCACGTTTATCTGTGCCCTCTTAGATAGCAGTCTCAGCTCTATGCTGTATTGTTTAGTGTGCTCTTGTGGCAACGTGGGATGTTGGTTTTAATCAGTATGGCCAAGCTGACTGGCCTGTGACTCCTGTTCAGCACCTTGGCCTGAGGATATGCCGGCTTTCAGTGGCAGCAGGTGAAAGACTCTTCGGTGTTCTTATTTTCCGCACACACAGATCTCATTTAGGTTTCAGGAAAGAAAACATAAATTGTTTTACAGAAAGGTTAGTTGTAAAAGTATTACCTGCCTCCCCCCCAACCCCCTGCCCCGGAAGTTGTCAGGCCAGGCAGTTTCTTTTGTATCACGTTATGGTCTGTGAAGAGGTCCTGCCTACGAAATTAAGGGCCTTTCGTAGGCTGCCTTCTCGCTAGTCACTGGGGACACGCCGTTCCCGCTCACGGCCAAGAGCGGCCCTTCTGCTTGTCCACTAGGCCCAGTCCCCTCTCACC